CACTTCCTATGACTGATGGTTTCCTGCTCTAAATGTAATTAGTATCCCTTTCTAGAAGGTTTGGTTCCCCTGAGTGCCATTGTGACAGGAAATTGTCTAGAAATGGCCATCCATACAACCTACTGTTGACTTCAAGTCACAGCTGACTCTTTTGTGCCACTGAATGATCAGATTTGAACAGGTCAGATTAATCAATATTTTGGAAAAAAAAAAGTAAAACATCCATAATGTCAAAAGTGAACTACAAGATGGTAAGACCGAGAATAACTGAATGGTTAACTCTATTTCTTCTCCATACAGGTAAACACAAAAAGCTATGTACTGAACAGTGACAATCAGGCAATGATTGCTAAACTAATGACTTCTTTCAAAGGCTTTCACAACAAAAGAATCCTCTCTGACACTAATGTTGTGAAGCAGGAGAAAGCTGTCCATTAGCCTAAAGAAGATCTGAAAAGGTGTGAAGTCAACAATAAATGAAGCTTCTAGTTGTTTCAGACTACAGGAGTGAAGCTGAACTCCAGCCCGCAAAGATTCACAGGATCACAGACGTGTAGCTCAGTACAACCATCCCTGCTGTGAGGCTGGGGTGGAAGGAAACGCATGTTTTCACGGCTTGGCACGGCGTGTCTAAAGCCAGTTGGTGGTTAAGCTTTTTCAGTCGCTGACTTATTTTTGCTTTCCTGTTGCATTCATTACATTATTTAAAGATTTCATACTTTCCCAGCAGTGCCGTCAGAAGCACTAATCAGTTGTCGAGCTGTTTAATCACCCATTCTGATTACAAACATCTGCTGTTTGCTGCTGGAAATTTGTATTTGTTTGATCTTTTTTTTTTGTTTTTTGTTAAATTTTCTCAAATTTAATTTTAACTGCCTGAAGTCTCTCAGGAAAATGGAAATATAATAAAGCTCAGGGGGAGCATAGGACTGCTCAGCTCCCCTAATAAAGATTGAAAAGGGCCATTTTGCTTAATGAATGTTTTTACTGTAGGAACTTAAAATATATATTTGATTTGAAAACAGATGCACTAAAGGATACTAAGGTAGAATTACAACTTTTACTTATGTAAAGGGACTAAATATTTGTTTATCGAGTTTGCAAAATAGTTATCCAACACAAGTTTTTAACTTGAACACAGCATGTTGTGTTTAATTTAAAAACTTGTGTTGGATAACTATTTCTACCCTGTAGATATGCTGATAGGTAGACCATTTAAGGCTTTAAATACAAACGGTGCCACTTTATACTTTATACAACAGCAAGAGCCCCATGTGATGACATGGATTTCATAATATGTCAGTATCTCACTTTTTTAATCATACTCTCATAGGTTCATACTATGGTAAATCATTCCCTCGTGTTAATTTTAAATGACAGCTAAACATTAACTGTTCAGTTGCAAGGCATCAATCTTTTGTACAGAAAAACCCCATGTTTAAAAAAAATAAATAAATACTGGTAATCAAAGGCATGAACATAACAATAACATATTCTTTTGGTATTCTTTTTGCCAAAGAAGCTACATCAAATTACTATTCAAACAGGTGAATGAATGAATATAGTTTCATGTACACAAGCCTTGATAAATATGGCCCTATGGTATATAAGTCAAATTTACATTTTGGTATAAATCCCAAGTGCAGCAGCAGTATGAAAATGAGATCACGATTCAGTCTGTGTGAAACCTGCAGGGTAACACAAATCTAGTTACAAATCTGCAGAGAACAATAAACCAGACAGAGGAGGGCTGAGGAGGAGCTGCAGTCATAGTGAGCTTGAACCACAGCAGTCAGGTCATCAAGCAGCTCCCTGTTTCCATGTGTCAGCAAAAGAAATGAAGTGCAGTGCCATGCAAATGGCCAGGCAACCATAAACACAGACAGCCAGCAAACCAAGCAGGAACCCCAAGCATCAGTCCAAACAGAGTATTTTAAAGGAACACTATTCTGTTATTATTACTATACCATAAATCTACACTTTAATCACATTTTGCATGGATTGCATCTGGGGATGCCGTGATCTGATATTTGGATCACATACCAGTCCAATCCTTACTTGTAAAGCTGGATCGGATATAGGTGATGATGAGCTACATGTTGTTTACTACACTACACAGCGGCAACAGAGCATAGTTAGCTAACAGCAAAGGAAGGCAGTTTGGAGGCCCTTCACATTGGCTACAACAACAGCTTTTCTTTATGTTTGCCGTAGTTTCAATTTAACTGCAACTGTGGTCAATGTGAGCAGGTATGACTAAAAGACACTGACGACAAAGAAAAGTCACTGTCATTTGTATCTTTGAGGCAGTACGTGTTTGGAAGCTTTTACCACATTTACAGGAATGTAAGATGTTGTAACCAGCCGTGTTAACAGTTCTTCACTTCATCTGTCTCTGTCAGCTCCACCCTGCATGCAACGTGTGTGTGTGTGTAACAGTAAATTAAGGTGCACTCAGAACAAAGAAGGACCGCAAAAACTAACATAAATAAGGGCAGTATGGAGTAGCACGTGACTCAGAGCCCAGAAATCAACATTACTGAAGCAGTGAGGGATCATCAAAACAAAAGGCAGCCAACATCAAAAGAAGAGCGTATGAGGGTTCAGGCATTGTTGATGAACAAAGGTGACCATATCAAATATCAACTTTCAAGTTCGTTAGAATTATGCAAACATATACTGCATTTTCATTTATGTTTCTATTATTCACCACAGCCACTTCCCAATTTACCCAGCAAAATATAAAGAGATAAGGAGTGACACAAGACTTTTGCACAGCACCGCATACTAACCTAATCAGCGAACAAAACATCTACAGTGTGAGGAAAAGCTCCATTTAAACCTTGGGAGTAAAACACTGAGTAAAACATCATTGTCCTGTACATGAAAAAAATTAAGTCCATCTGAAGAGAAACTGCGCATATATGATAATAATGATTCCCCATTGAATCAATGAATAGAACTGTTAACAAAAAATTAAAAAAAATATCATAATGTCACTATTTTATTATTAATCTATGCTGCTGTTGCTGCATTAAGACACTATAGTAGATCAAATGTTTTGCTTTAGCGTAAGATTTCAAAGAAGAGACATCTTTACTGAGACCAGTCATTAAAGACCAGTCTTGTTTCAGGCGTGAGGAAAAAAAAATAAAAATCAATCTTTCCATCTTGTGAGGACACACACACATGGGGCTCCTGTTTATTACTGATGGTCCTCTCCTACAACCACACACAGTGGCAGACAACAATAACCCTGGACGGTAGCATGTACAGAATCTGTATAGTACACTGACAAAGCTGTGAGGTGATAGCCCTTCTCTTGTTCTTGCTACACACATTAAACAAATGCACACATGTAAGGTGTACACACATCTCTGAGATTGTTTATCTTTAAGACACTGCCCGGAGCCTTTTTGCTCACCACAGTCTTACACAGATAATGAGGAAGCAGTGTCAGTTGCAGAGCGCAAAGGAAAAGATTGGCTGGGAAGAACTAGGGTGTGTTTGCATGTCACAGAGTACTAGTCACTTGTTTCTATTTCTTTGCTGGATCAGATAAAGATGAAGTTTCAGGCCTTTGTGCTTAAAAAACAAGGTCACCAGGATGTGAGAATCTGATACCGGTTTCCTTGACAGCAAAATGTGTGAGAAGGCTTTTGCACAGTGAGTGGATTATACAGGTAAAAATAAACATTATCTCACTGAATCTCACATCAACACATGACAAGCCCATTATTCACCCATTACTCAGTGCAAGCCCTCATTCATGGAGCATCCTTGGACTGTCTGCCCTCTTAAAAAAGATAAGAAAGAGTACTTGGGGGAAGAAGGGTGGAGAATTGTTTAATTTCTTGACTAGTCAGGCGTGTGGTGTATTTAACCCACCCTTTCTCTATTTTTGTTATTACAGTTGGGTTTTTAAAATTATACAGCATGTCTGCCCTCATGAGTCAGTAGTGAGTTATTTAACTCGCCTGTAGTAAGAGCAGTAAAGCCAGTCAAGCACATTACAAGGGATTTAGTTGTTAACCCCACTCTGATTAGATAAATACAGCAGGAACAACCGGATTCACCTATGATGAGTAGTTAAAGGGCATGCATGAGCAGTACAGTAAACATCTGGAGGGAGATATTTGTAGCAGTCCCTCTGCTATCGATAATCCCATCTTGCAAACTCATACTCCAAGATCCTGTAATCTACTGGCCTGGTTTGTTTGGACATGACAGCTCATTATCCTGGCCTGCTGCTGTTGCTTAAGGATGCCTGGACTACAGGGGCCTGCATGCTCTGCAGTCGGCTCATGGCTCGGCTGGATCAACATCTGTGGCCAAAATGACACATCATCCTCTCGCTTTGCGGCACCAAATGTTCCGGCTTCCTACGGCAACATGATTGTGTAACGACACGAAACGAGGACGGGACATTGAGGAAAAGACGATATAAACATGGCACACCAGAAGCGTGCTAAGCATTAGCAAGAAATATGGTTTATGTGCTAATGAATGGGCCGCGTCTCCGCTGGCATGTTGTACAGTGGATTTTTTTTCACTGATACAAATGGAGCAGACCCTGGAAGCAGCGGCTGCAACTGATGTCGGCCCGTTCAGTTATCATAGCATTTAATAAACCAATAAGCTCGCAAGCCCTTCAACTGACTGCTCGTCAAAACGCTAATGTTTAATTTAAATATAAAACCGTCAAATAAACAAATACGATTCGTTAACGCTTACCTGCACTCCTTTTCCATAATCGGAGCGGTGTGTTTAGCGTCGCTCCCAAGCCGGTCTGTCGTAAACGTCAAACGTGTGTTACCGGCTAATTAAAATCTTAATAAACCACCGAGGACAAATACGCCGTCCAGCACAGTGCCATCCTCCTGCCGCCGTTCGACCGGGGAGGAAGCGCCGCGTCTCTCGCTCGCTGGTCGCGAGGCAGCGCACGCGGTGAGAGGGGACGTGCGCGTGCAAACCGAATTTAGAGGAGAAAAATATTTCTGGAGGCGTCCACTGAAATAACCATGACAGCCGTGTGATGTAGTCAACGGCTCAGCAGGGATGTGGTATAAACGGATGCATCAATCATTGCAAGTAAATCACACAGAATGGCTGGCGTTCTTAGGCTTCAGGTTGAGCTCGAGGTAAGACGAACCAATCAAACAGCGGAACGAGGCGAGAGCGACACGCCACGAGCCAATGGCAGGGCAGAATTACGGGATTCCAGCGGAAGGACAACGTATACAACCAATCACCGAGGAGCTTTATTCTGTTAGAAGGCGGGCTCCGCAGGTGTCACAGAGCGGTTAAACGGATTTATCGGTATTTGGCAACGATATTATTCATTATCTGACACAAAATAAATAAATAAAAATAAAAAACATGTAATTGTTTCAACTAATTTGTGGTAATACTTTTGATTATCTTATAACCGACAGAAGCAGCTACCTGTTACTGGATAGTGAGAGTGCATAATAATAATAAAAATAATAATAATAAGTATAATAAGTATAATGTAAAGTGTCAAAACTAAATGTGCTGGAGGTTATAAGTGCTGATGCATCACTCATATGTAAGTAGCATTTAAACTAACCTATTAGTTATTGTATTGACTAGTCTACTTTGTATTTGAGATGTTAATGATTTGTATGGAGATGTTATTCTGTTAAATAACAACTAGAGAAACATCTAGTTGTTTCTCTAGAAACAACACCTTAACTTTCCTGAGTTTAATGTGAACTTATGTGAACTAATCAATCAAGATGTGATTCAATCAAGATCTGATTAGAGAATGTAAACTCAGTAAAGAAAGGGGGTGATCAAAGTGCAGTTGCTTTTAAGATGAGGTTAGTAATACAGCATTTAAAGCTGGAAAAAAGGAGCCAAGATTAGATCATCTGGGCCAGATCTTTGGCCGAGACTTGCCAGTTTTGAATCACAATAGCCCCATTGAGAATTCTGCTACAGCTTTGCTACCAATGCTGCCAATAAAAACACACGCACATTTCACATAGTGTATGAAGTAAAAATAATTATATTACATGGTGTGAGATTCTGCACATTGCCTATGGAAAGGCAGACCTGGTTCCAGGGAAACACTCAAGTGAACAAACACACAATACGTAATCAAAATAATCCCAGTATTCTTTTCTTTATTTTTGTTAGTTTCTGTTATTTTTACCTTCCAAGAGACACCCGGTTTTTAATAGACTAACAAAACTGTCACTTTATAGTTAAACTATGATTAATTGGACTGTACAAATGTAAAGTGATAAACATTTAGATTCAAATATTGTCTCAGTGTCCTCTATTCCCCCCAAATTCACATTCACATCTTGAATTTCAGTTATATATGGAAATGTGACCTAACATATTGAGACATGCCACAATACAACAAACGATGATGGTGTTTTAATAACAGGATATATTTTAATTGACTTTTATTTTCTTACTCTCTAAAGGCAGGGCTTGAAGGGTGACTGATTTACTGTGCACGCACAGTATTGATAATGTGCATCATCTGGACAATTACTTTATTGCCATCAAGTGGACAAATTGGATACTACACTTTTCCATACCCAAAGCAGCATACACTTTTCCTCATCCCTCATCGCTTAACTGATACCTACTGTTTTTTTGTTTTGTTTGTTTTATTATTATTTTTAAATCTAATTATTGGCATTTATGGATGTTGGTGTACATAATTTTGGAGACATTGTGCATTTCTTCATATTTTGTTTTCAATGAGCCATGCTTAATATGGTTTCTTAAAGTGGTCTCGGACAGTAGTATACCAGCTCCAGCTCAAGACTAAGAAATTTAGAAAATCATGGATTGATGGAATACATATTTTTATTCTTTCGTTCAAATCATACAAAGGACGTCAGGACAGAGACACAACAGTGAGTGCCTATAGCCATTTGTAAAACACCGTGAAGGCTCTGTCGTGGTTTGGGACTGCATTTCAATTAGTGCTGATGGAGATATTCTCTCTTCTACGGAATTATGACTGCAGAAAGGTTTAATCAGTCAAATCTACCATGCATAACCATCTGTGAAGCACCTGATTGGCATGGTAGTGGTTTTACAAAATACAGACTTTAAATCTTGTTAGAATTGTACAAGCTTTTTTTTTTTCTTTTTTTTTTTTTTTTAAACTTATATACTGTATCTCCATGTATGTTTACCTGTTTCAATCGATCGATGCACCCATTTTCAATTTTCCTAACAAAATATAAAGAAGGGGGGCCTGAAGACCATTTCAGAGTACTGTATGTATAATCATTTTCTTTATAATTTTACTAAAACAAGCATCGATACCGGTACTGGCAGACAATCACTTTTTGGCACAACACCGGCCCTCTGCTGATGCATTCAGGTGTTCTTCCAAATACCGTAATAATGAAAAAAAAGTATAGGTATAAAAGACAAGACCATGATTTTTGGCTTAAGAACATAGACCGTACGTAAGCTCATGCGTGAGAGTTAAGGTGGCGAAGAACCGGAAAATTCAGCCATCGAAGTGTTTTATTTAAGTATTAATGTTGGAAATGGAATCAGAAAGCTAAACATTATCCAGATTGTACCTGAACGCAGCATACGTGTGTGCTCGTTAGAAGCTCCTAGCTAGCTCGTTAGTTTCACGCAGATCGATAATCCGCGGAGTGTAAAATTTCATAGCAAGGTGACGTTGATGTTCCTTCATATTTTTTCTGCATTACATTCTGAAATTCGTAGACGTGTTTAAAAACTAAGAAATGCTTTGAACGCTTTGCACCCGTCTCAAATTTGTTGATTTGAAGGTTGCTTCGGTAGCTAGCATGCTATGCAAATTCATGTTAGCTTCGCTCCGATTCAGTTTTGATTTAATATAGACAGCTTAGCTTTAGGTGCAATAGATAATTTTGTTTCTAAATAGACACATATTTTAAATACCGTGTAATTAACAATATTAGAGTAACATAAATGGAAATGCTTGCCGACCCATCTTGCTAACTAGCCGGTATGAATGAAGGGGAAGGACTCCATTGTTTATACCGGGTCACACGCTGACCTGCATTTTGACTTGAGATAGTGATCCTTTGTATTACACTAGACATTAAACAGTGAGCAGACAGAGGTCCATTCTGACTATCCCCAGCCTTAAATTCGCTGATTAGATTTGACTTAATTGAGCATTTTTATTCTTATTTTTTTAATTATTCTATCAGCCTAGCACGTCAACAATTCGTTATTAACACTGTTCATCTGTTAATTTATGTACACTGTTATTTATATAGGTACGTGTCTAATGATGATTTATTTATTGGTTAATAATTGTAAAAAGTATAAAGATATACATTTGATTTATTTATTCATACTTTTAAAACCTCCTGGCTTTCTCATAAACTATTAATCCACATATTAAAGAGGGTTCTTAGATAAAATCTCTACTATAACAAATGTCCTTGCTGTACATTCTTTTATACAGATGTCAGAGAATAATCTTGATAATGAACTTCTGGATTATGAAGAGGATGAGGAGCCTCAGGGAGTCCCAGAGAGTGGGACCCCAGCAAATAAAAAGGAGGTGAAGGGGTCATATGTATCCATCCACAGCTCGGGATTCAGAGACTTTCTCCTCAAACCAGAGCTGCTCCGTGCCATCGTTGACTGTGGTTTTGAGCATCCCTCAGAAGGTGGATAGCAGGGCTATTTAAAGTTCAAATAAACTCCTGGACATGATCCTGATCATAGAACTACAGCCACACATAATAAATGATTTCTTATGATGTTGTAACTGCACGCTTAGTATGTATATAAAGAAAAATGTATAATTGCCAATTGGTTTTACTTTCAGTTCAACATGAATGCATCCCTCAAGCTATCCTGGGCATGGATATCCTGTGTCAGGCCAAGTCTGGTATGGGAAAGACAGCAGTGTTTGTGCTAGCCACCTTGCAGCAGATAGAACCTGTGGATGGTCAGGTGAGTTTGTCATTACACAGTTTTACAAGCTCTCTAATTCTGCGTTGTTATGGGACGTTACATAGTTGGCTAAGAAATTAAAGAAAAGATGTGAATCCTTAACCCCTGCAGCGAAAAGAACAGGTAGCTCTGTTATGCTCTGGGAGCACAGTTCAGGAAGAAGAAAGGCTTCTTTCAGATCAATATGATTTTTTTTTTTTTTGATTGATCACATTTATTTTCAAACACATTTCTACAATAGTAGAAGTGAACTCCCAAGACAAGCCTATAGATCAGGGGTGCCCAATCCCAGTCCTCGAGATCTACTATCCTGCAGCTTTTAGATGCATCCCTACTCCAACACAGCTGAATCAAATGGTGTGATTGCCTCTTCAGCATGCCATCAAGTTTGGCAAAGGCCTGATAACAAGCCATTCAGTTGATTCAGGTGTGTCAGAAGAAGGATGCGTCTAAAAGCTGCAGGACGGTAGCTCTCGAGGACTGGGATTGGGCACCCCTGCTATAGATTGTGTTGTTGGTTAACATTTCGGTGTATGATTATCTACTGTAATTGGGTGTGTGTGTTACACACCCAGTGTTTTTGACTACAAACAATACAGACGTTATGTTCAGCATTAGCAAACTTTAATCTGGAATTACTCAGGCTTTGATGAAATCAGATAATCAGAAAACGTCTCTGTCTGAATGAGAACCAGAAGAGTTTGAGTTCATGTCCGATGTCTTTAGCTTCTAGTCCAGCACGGTGCCTTTAAGATCTTTTTAAGTATTTTCTAATTTGCTCTTTCACATTATAAAGTAGTCATGATTTGGGGGATTTATAAAGGAAGTTTGTGATATTGTAATGGCATTATACACAAATGAGATAAACAACAATGTACATGCTATATAAAGATGAAAGCGTTGATAAAACCTCTGTGTTGTTTCCTTGCAGGTGTCTGTCCTCGTGATGTGCCACACACGAGAGTTGGCATTCCAGATCAGCAAAGAGTACGAGCGCTTCTCCAAGTACATGCCCACTGTCAAGGTGTCAGTGTTCTTTGGTGGCATGGCTATCAAGAAGGATGAGGAAGTCCTGAAAAAGAACTGCCCTCACATTGTTGTAGGAACTCCAGGACGTACACTGGCCCTCATTCGTAACAAGACCCTCAGTGTGAAGAACATCAAACACTTTGTGCTTGATGAGTGTGATAAGATGCTGGAGCAGTTGGGTAAGTGAGAGGAACCAAGCTGTTTATAGTCGACTCTTGGTGAAGGTTTTTGACCAGTATGTAGGAGTGGCGATAGAGTGTGTCAAGTAAATATTGTTGAGATAAATTCTGATGGTGATTACATACATTTTGCTTATTAAAGGTCATCATTAAGAAATTACACCATATATAGATATATATATAATTTTGGATGTATCATTTATTTCCTTGCAAAAGACATGAGACGTGATGTCCAGGAAATCTTCCGACTGACGCCTCATGAGAAGCAAGTTATGATGTTCAGTGCAACTCTGAGCAAGGAGATCCGCCCCGTGTGCCGCAAGTTCATGCAGGATGTGAGTTTACATGTGGCCATACACGTTATATCTGTGCAGCTTCATGTATGGCAAAAACATCAATGTCTATCGCAACATTATGTTCCTTAGTGTGCACTACAGCAAAGCAAGCCTACACTTAAAAAATTCCAGGGAAAACACTATCTAGACTACTTTTGTCCTTACATTTTACTTATGCTAAGTCATTGGTGACAGTGCTGTATCACTACTATTGCACTATAATGCTGCCACTGGCATTTTGTTTGAAGATTGCAGCAGCAAATTAGTAAATGTGTCATCAGTGAGAGCAGCTTATTGAAAAAGGATGGAAAAAAACCTCCATTTCCTTAAACTTACAAATGTTGCTGCCTGCAGAGTGCTAGCAGTATTAAAATGATGTTCAGTGTTTTTTTTTTTGTTTTTTTTCCCTCATCGTCAGAAATGTAATGGAAAATAGTCGAGTTTCCTTTTATTTTTGGCCATTTATTGCTGCCTTTGTCATATTTGCTCATAAAGCAGGCAAATTGAACCTCTCAGCAGTTTAGAATTGTCCTTTTCCAGGTAATCTGTAGATCTGTCTGAGAGACTAATGCTGGTCATTCTGTCCTTTGCTGTGTAGCCGATGGAAGTGTTTGTGGATGATGAGACCAAGTTGACACTTCATGGTCTACAGCAGTATTACTGCAAGTTGAAGGACAGCGAGAAGAACCGAAAGCTGTTCGACCTGCTCGATGTGCTCGAGTTCAACCAGGTATCAGTGGTAATACTTTTGAAAGGAGTTGGAATCTGTTATGTCCATTTTATTTGTTTTAAATCCTTGCTAATTGTTAACAAATGCAGCTTTATTTTTTATCCTTTTTTAATTTTTTTAAATTTATTTTCTAAAATAACTTGTGTGTCTTGTCCTCTCTTAAACCCTCCCATGTCTGCCTTTTCCAGTACAAATCTGAAAATATGCAAGACTCAGCAGTTTCTTTTATATTCCTCGCAGGTGGTGATCTTTGTGAAGTCTGTAGCTCGCTGTGTTGCTCTGTCCCAGCTACTGGTGGAGCAGAACTTCCCTGCTATAGCCATCCATAGGGGCATGGCGCAGGAAGAGAGGTTGGTGCTGCGTCACTTTAGAAAGAAGAGTGTTTTTCTTTTTTTAAGTTTGTCATATTTTTTGTTATTGTCACGTGAGACTGTCCTCATTGTGTACGTTTTTTTTTCCCAGGCTCAAATGCTTGTAGACAGTGTCAGTACCTGTAAAAGACAGGCTAAAACTAGACCCAACTGACTATTAACTCTTAGTTTTGGATATAATCTTATTCAGTTCTGCAGTTCATGATGCTGTTGCTTCTCTACTCCTGCCAGGTTATCCCGATATCAGCAGTTCAAAGACTTCCAGCGGCGGATTTTGGTGGCAACCAACCTGTTCGGCCGTGGCATGGACATTGAACGAGTTAACATTGTCTTCAATTATGACATGCCAGAGGATTCTGACACATACCTTCACAGAGTGAGTAATATTTAATTTGAGACATTGGTATATTTTCATTTCCAAACCTCCCATTTCTGGTCTTTAAAGCTGAGGCCATGTGTAGCAGTAAATTTCTTGTGTATCGTTCAGGTGGCCCGTGCTGGCAGGTTTGGGACTAAAGGCCTGGCCGTCACCTTTGTGTCAGACGAGAGTGATGCCAAGACCCTGAATGAGGTTCAAGACCGCTTCGAGGTCAATGTAGCAGAGCTACCAGAAGAAATCGATATTTCTTCCTACAGTAAGTATCTTGTTGCTTGCAGGCGTCATGAACCTGGCTTAAAGACGCCCATTTAATAACTATATAAGTATTATAATATTAACTAAGTATTTTGGTGTCACACTGTATACCTCTTTATGACCAGTTTCACCTAGTGACAGCCAGCAACCACTAGCCAACCGGTCAGGGAATGCACATTTTTTCTTAGTGTTGGGAGGTTTCCAGGAGCTCCCTGACTGGTCTGTAGGCCTTAGCTGCAACAGGTATTTGTTTACTGAGAACTTCAGAATCAGAGTTAGAAAGACTTTGTTGTATCTTAATTGCCCCTTGGGGATAAATAGAGCAGCATGACGTTGAAGATAAGGACAGAGTATAAACAGGCAAACAGAATATACAGTATATATACAGTTTTAAAATTACACAGTTTTAAAATTAAAGCGACCTAAAGGTGAATAAATAACTGTAAGTGACTACAAGTGAATAAAGTCTCAGCAGTATAAAAAGAGTTTAGAGTAGTAGAGCAGGACGATATGACCAAAAATATTTATCACGATATATACATTTGAAAATTTGCGATAATAACTGACGATATAATTGACACTAGACAAAATACTTTACAACTCCACAACTTTATTAGTGCAAAAAAA